CTGATATTGCTACCACCCTGGTACAGGCCCTAATGTCCTCATGCCTGGACTATTGCAACAGCCTGCTTGTGGATCTGCCTGCCTCAAGTCTCTCCCCACTTCATTCCATCCTCCATTCGGATACTAAAATGGTTTTCCTAAAACACAATCAGTTCATGTCATCCTCCTACTCAATAAATCCCAGTAGTTCCCTCTCACCTCCAGGATCAAATACAAAATCCTCTGTTTGGTGTGCAAATCCTATCCCCCCTCCACACTTCCAGTTTTTTTTTTTTGCACCTCTCTCCCACCGTGTACTTTTTGATAGAGTGACACTGGCCTTCTTGCTATTCCTCAAACAAGACACTCCATAGCTCTGCTCTGGGCATTTTCTTTGGCTGGTTTCCATATCAGAAATGCTCTGTCTCATCTCATCTTCATATCCTGGCTTCTTTCAAGTCCCAGCTAAAATCCCACCTTCTATAGGAAGTATTTCCCAATCTCTCTTAATTCTAGTGCCTTCTTTCTCTTGTTATTTTTAATTTATTCTGTATGTTCTTTGTTTGTACATAATTGTATGTTGTTTCCTCTATTAGGTTGTCAGCTTTCTGAGGGCAGGAATTGTCTTTTGCCTTTTTTTTTTTGTATCCCTGATGCTTAGTACAGTGATTGGCACATAATAGGTGCTTAAAAAAGACTAACTGAAAGTCTTGCCACATGAGAATCCATTGAAGGAACTAAAAGAAATGACTTAGAGGAAATATGTTTTTGAAAAGTATTTAAATGTTCTGTCTGACCCCAGAGGGCAGAACTAGGAGCACTGAGTGACAGTGATAGAGGGACAAGTTTTGCCTAGAGATAATCAAAATATTCTATTTAGTGCTATCTCAAAGTAGAATGGGCTATCTCAGGAGGTAGTGGGATCTCTCCCTCACTGGAGGTCTGCAAGCAAAATCCTGATGACCACTCATCAAGTATATCCCTTACAATTATGTTATTCTTATATCTCATCAACTCTATTCTAACCAGATCAATAGGCTCATCTTCTTTGAACACTCACAACCTCCAACTCTGAGCTAGCACCAGGCAAAATTGTGAAGGAGACAAACTTTGTCTCACTTTCTCTTCAGGACTGAATTCCATCATTCATTTAGCTTAAGCATCCCCCCCCCCCAATTCCTCCCTGGCTAATCTCGTATTCAGTTCCCACAGGGTTAACCCAAAGGGTAGCTGATAAGGAAGGAGGTGTCTCATGAGACTTAGCATTCATTATCTGGGGCATTTTTTTTCCTTTTATGAGTCACTCTTGAGGACCTCAGACCTTCCAAACCCAAAGGAAAAAAAGCTAAGAGTGAAAGGAGATCACCTAATCCCATTTCCAATTCCTTGCAGAAAGCCTTTATACAGTATCTTTCTTATACGTCTCTACTTATACAAATAGATGACATTGGAAAAGTAGGTAAGGGAGATTATTTGGCAGGGTGAGGCATGTCAGGCCTCTCTCTGAAAGTGTACTAGAGGGAACCATGACTACACTTTGCAGAATCTAATCCCAATGCAGGAAACTGACCAAGCTACAACCTGAGGATGAAGCCGTGGATACCTGAAACTGGCCGTCATCGAGCACCCTGAGAGTCCTATCTCTTCCTCCAAATCCATAATTGCTTCTTTTACATAACTTCTTACCCCTCCAATGTCCCCTTCCCCTGCTGCTCACGATTCCTGATGCCTTCTTGCCCTGCTGACTTGTCAGATGTCTCAGAGGCTCTTAATTGGCCAGTGATGGTATTGGACTCTGGCATTCCAACCAAGCCAGTGGACATCTGTATGCTGAGTGATGGACAGGTGTCACTCACCTTCACCCCCCCCCAACCCCAGTGGGGTAGAGTGGCTAAGAAGCTCTCAGGGTATGAAGAGATGTGTGTGTTTTGGGGCTACTGTGGGGGTAGGGTAGAAGAAGTAGAAGACGGGAAAGGAATGAAACAGGGAAAACAGTTTAAAGGGGGATGGAAGCAGAAAGGGGTGGGAGTTAGTGGGGAGAAAAAGAAGGAACTGGAAAAATTCTGTAAGTTGAAGCTAAGGTTCCAATCAAATATTTATCAGTTAATTGATCTCTCCTGTGTCTGCCAAAAGGCCCATTTGACAGCTCCCTCTCCTGCATTCCTTGTCGCTTCCTTTCCCGTGGTCTTTGTCTTTCCCTGTTTTCTTTTACCTTCTCCCTTTGTTCCTTGCTTTTCTCTTCTTTACACTCCTTACCGCCTCTGCTTTCATAACTCTTTCCGTGGTCTCCCTTTGTGGTTTCCTCTCCCTTAACTGTAGCCTCCTGACTATTTTCTGCTTCTTTCATCCTCTATCCTCTCCCTTTCCTCACTGCACCCCAACCTCCCTCTCTCCCTCTTACCTGCTCTTATCTTTACTCTATTGGTTGGAAGCTGTGGGCCTGACACTTTCTCTAACATATTTGTTAATAATGGGCAAAGGGGCTTTGCAGTCCGCTTTGGAACAATGATGCTGGAGTCTCCAGTGAAAGTGTGTGTGTGTATGTGTGTGTGTGTGTGTGTGTGTGTGTGTGTGTGTGTGTGTCCCTCTTTTGTTGTTCTTGAAGTTGAATGTTGCCCCAGTTTCTCAGTCTCTAAAGATAGAGGGAAGGGATCTGCCAGCTGCACCGAAGTGAGGGGACCAGAGAGTTTGCTCATTAGGCATACAGCTCCATAGCTCAGAGTATCCCAGGGGTGGCCAGAGCAGAACCCTTGAAATAACAATTTTGGAGGATTGCACAAGAAGGGCTAGAGACTCTGGCAATGCTTGAAGAATGAACAAGGTACAGCCTCTCTCATAGGCCCACTCATGGATACCTCTGTGGGAATCCCACTCTGTTTCATTTACCATGGCATCCCCCTAGAGTAGGCTTCAACCCACTCAAAAGAGCCTTAGACTTAGCAGATGACTCTGGAATAAGTTTCATGTTGCTGCTTTCCAAAATGCATTTGGAATAGGAATCAGAGATGTCAAATCTGGAAATATAGAGCCTCCTATGACCCTTAAACTCCCCCTCAAAATCACCTAAAAGTGATATCTAATAGAAATAATTTGGCTGAGTCATCTCCATCCTCTCCTGATCTTGGAAACCAAACCCCTTCTTCTTGGTTGAATGGTTTTGGAGCAGGACCAGTCTGATGTTCCCAAATCTATGAACCGAAGGCCAAATTTCTTAGTTGCCCCAAGCATCTCTGGACTCCTTGGATAGTCCTTGGGGTTCTTCAAAGTGAGCAATTGGAGGGAGCTCCCCTATCCTGCCTTTCCCTCATCTTAAACTGTAAGACCCTAGAGATTGAGAGCCGCAACAGACTTACCCTTCAGGAATGCCTCTTGGTAATAATGATAAATCTAGATTGTTAATTCTTCAAGGGGAGAGGATATATATTTAACTCTCATACTGTAGCCCCTTGCGGAAGGTCATGTACTAATTGTCATCATTATTGGAGTGAGGCCTAGAGCAGAGCTAACTTAGAAGAAGGATTGGAGAATGGTCCCTAGGACTTGATCAATCCCTGCCTTGACTATCAGGGACCTATTACCTGATCTTCTACCCTTACTTTTACATACTGGCCACCAGTCCAGGACCAAAAATCCTCCTGGAACCACCACTACCCCTATTCTTCATACACACACACACACTTGGAGGGACAAATGACATTAGAGTGGGCCCTAGGTCAGAAGAGACCTGGTTGAGGATTGGGGGGAATGAGTACATACCTTAAATATGCCTCACTTACCACCACCAGCATTCCTGCCTCCATAAGCAGCCAGGCTCCAGGACTAACGTTTTGACCATCAGTCAGGACCAAGGACCCAGGACATCTGCCCCCACTGACGTATGAATATCACAAATTCACCCTTTTCCAGCCTTTTTCAACATTACCATCGCAACTGTGAAAATGTGATAGTCTATTACCTTATGGTTTTATTCAGTGATCCTGAGTCATAGGGGGCCTAGGTTGGTGCCCCCTTCTCTGACTCCTTTCTCTGCATCTTCCTACCCATTCACATTCACCCCATCCTTTTCGTTCTTCAATCTTACTCTACCCTATCTTTCCAATGTATCTGGAATCTGCTGTTTTATTGTTAGCAAACATATTAGTCATGTGCCTCTCCCCAGAAATCACATTGCATATTTTTTTATTTAATTTTCCGTATACACATTTCTTCCTTCCAATAGAACATAATCTTCCCCAGGACAGGGCCAATTTCATTTTTGCCTTTGTATCCCCAATGCCAAGCACAACACCTGGAACATAGTACATAATTAATAAATGCTTGTTAAACTCAATTAATAAATGCTTCCTGATAGTTGTAGGCCATAACCCTAAAGCTGGAAGGGATCTTAGAAGTCTTCTAGTCCAAACTTTCATTTCACAGATAAGGAAACTGAGGAGCAAGGGTACTAAGTGACTTGCTTACAGGTAGTAAGTGGCAGGTTAAAGACGATGATATTTTCTGAAGTACACACACACACACACACACACACACACACACACACACACACACACTGGGATGCTTCTATGACCTTGGAAACTCTACCACTAGAGGGACATCGTCCTATAATGGAAAAAACACTGGGTTTGCTTCCTGGCTAAGTATTTATAAACAGAATGATCTTGGGCAAGTCTTTCCTGAGTCTCAGTTTCACACTCTATAAAATGGGCTTAATAGTAATAGCACTACCTATTACACAGCGTTGTTTTGAGGTCAAATTAGACAGTATATTTTAAAGTGCTTTGTAGCAGCAAAGGCTAGAACTGTCATTACTACTACTAAGAATAAAAATTTATCTATAGCAGTAATAATAACAAAGGTGATGCATCAGGACTGCTGTGCTTCTGGGCAGTTTCCCACTGAACTAGAAGGACTCTCTTTATAGGAGGAAGGGGGCACTGTCTGTACCCAAGGTGCCACCAAGATTCTAACCACATCCCTCCTGTTGGTTTTCTCTTTTTCTTTCTCTCTCTCTCTCCCCCCAGGGTAATCAGGACACCACGGCTCCTCCTGAAGCGATGGCTCAGCCCTACCCCCAGGCCCAGTATCCCCCACCGCCACAGAACAGCATCCCCACTGAGTATGTGCCACCCCACCCTCACCCCACACAGGACTACTCCGGCCAGACCACAGTACCAGAACATGCCATGACCCTCTACACACCAGCACAGACCCACCCAGAGCAGCCAGGCACCGACGCCAGCACACAGCCAATCACTGGGACACAGACAGTACCGGTAAGAAGCCCCTTCCAGCCAGCTTCATACCTTAGAGGGCCCTGGGCATTGTCTTACAAGGCCCCATCACTGAGGCCCATCTAGGGACTTGCAGGAACCAGGAACCCCCCCCCACCCCACCCCCTGCCCAGGGCATCAAAGTGGCCCTGGCCTCTGAAAGAACTCAAGGCAAGGTCCATTAAGAGAAAACTGGGGTGTTGGCCACAAAGTAAAACATGGGGGTGATGTGGGGAAACCAAGGGCTGGGCTGAGAAAGGCATGGCTCCTTGATGAGAAAGGGATTAGATGGGGAGGGATAATAACAGTGGGATATAGATCTCCCTGGGGAGTGGAAAGGAGGTTTCAATAATAAGGACGGGTTCTTTTTATAGAATATAGTGATTCCCTCCTCTCACTCCCTCAGGCCTATACACACAGAAACTCAAGGTCCCTCTGGCATGTCCTCCCACCTCAGGGTTTGGCTTCATTGGTTCCTCATCAGGGTAACAAGAAAACTCAGTAAGTTGTTTCTGAAGGGAGTGGCTAAAGAAGGCCAAGAAAACGTGCAGTCCAGGGCACCCACCTATTGGTTCCCTAAGCCCGTCGATTCTGGCAATTCTAAAAGGAAACCAAATCACTTTATTTGAGAGATGAACAGTGTCTTCAGCTGCCAGTAACCTGTTAATAGAAAGTAAGAAAAATCACCAAACCCAGAAACCCTGAGCAGCTGCTGTGACCCTGCTGACGGGGCCCTGTCTCTGAGCTATCTCGGGTTACTGGTTCTCCTATCATTTCTAATCACTTGTAATCTACCTGCTTGGCTGCCCTCCAATCAGATAGCTTCAATTATGTGGTTGTAATGCAATTCCGAAGGGGAAAGTGCTGAGCCATGCACTTCGTAGAGATTTCCTGATAATAAAGGGAGAGCTTGTTAAGGAGTAACCATCACACTGGGCCAGCCTTTGGCCCATCTTCTCTGCAGGGTGAGCCCCTGTCTCCCTAGCTCCTCTTATTCTGAGGCAGCAGCTCTACCTTCTCCATCCCCTTACCCTTCCTTTATTTAATTCACCAGGTTTTTTTTTTCCTTCATTTGTTCACCCTCTTTCAAACTTTGGATAGAATGCTGGACATGGAGCCAGGAAGACCTGGGTTCAGATTCCACTTCTGACAGTAATTGTGCCTTCTATGATCAGTCTCCTCATCTATAAAATGTTGAGCTTTAACTACATGTCTTCAAAGGTCCCTTCCAGCTCTAAATCTGTGCTCCTATAATCCTTTCCTCTCCCTTACTCCCTTCTGATTCCAATCTCCAGTCCCTCCTGAGGCCTAGTTCTCATGCTAGCTCTTAGTCAATATTGTTTCTGTGGTTGGGAAGTGGAGGTGGAGACTAGGAAAGTAAGTTATTATGCTCAGCATTTCCTAGCAGTGGCAACACCTTGACTGATTAGCCTGCCCTGTCTCTGTCACCTGCTGCCCTGTTTACTGGGTTTGACTCTCAGGAAGTTTGTATAGGATTAAGAGGCTGCCCTGTCCCCACCCCTTGTGTAATGCAAAAAAAAAAAAAAAATACACCTGGAGAGAAAGGGTCAGGGCACACTGTCACACTCTTTCTTTCTTTTTATAGGCTCAAACTGCAGTTTTAGGGGATAGGGGCCCTTTGGTCATAATGGCCAGCAGTACCCTAATGGCTCTGAATTTCTCTAGTCCTTTGGGCTGAGGTCAGGGGGGGAAAACTCACCTTCTCATAAATTGACTGAGACATAATAGAGTTAAATTAAATCTCTACTAAGTGGCTGCCCTGCTGCCAAATGAATATCACAAATACACTCTCTTCAGACCTTCCTCAACATTACCATTGCAGCTGTGAAGGTGTGACAATCTATTGCCTTATAGTTTACTACTTTACTAAGTAGTAAGGCTAGAAAGTATTGAATAAAAGTAGACGTCAAATTAAGATGGTCAACTGAAGAGATGTATGGAGTTGTTGGATCATTTGACCCTATTTCACACTGACTCTCTAAGTTTGGCAAAACTCTCCTTAACTTCCCAGTCTGATAGAAAAGCAGGGATTGGAGTAAGTTGTGTTTGTCAGATAGGGACAAGGGCTTGATTAATTAACCTCAGTGCCAGGGATTCTAATACCTTTAACCAAGGGACTATTACACATAAAACATTTAGCAAAAATCCAGGCATCCCCATTACCCACTCGTAGTGAGGGATGAAGAGAAATATGTATACAGTAGGAGAAGTCAGTGTGGTGTAATGGATAGAGCATTAGATTTGGCATTGGGAGACTGAGGTTCAAATCCTACCTGGTATATTTTTTAGCTGTGTGATCAGAGCTTCAATTTTCTTATCTATAATATTGGAATATTAATGCTTGCATTACCTACCTCACAGAGTTGTGGGGAGGAAAGTACTCCATAAACTTTAAAATATTATATAAAATTATATAAAATGTGAGTTTATTATTATTATAGGCAATATTTCCTATCCTAATGTCTGCAGAAACACACCCTACCCAGAGCTTCCCTGTGGCTTCCTTGTCCTAGGGCACAAATACTTAACCTTTTTTTTTTTCATCTAAGCCCTACCTGAAGTCAGATCAACAACTCTTGCATTTTGCATTCTTTCTGTTCCTCTCCATCCTCCTGGAACCCCTCTTCCTTTGGTCTCCGAGGGCCTAAATGAATGTCTCCTTTGGCTGCACAGGAACTCTATCATCTCTAGGCCATAGGTGGGAAAATCAAAGTCCAAGACTCCAAAGAACCAAGAGCAGAAGTCATTTGCCTTCCATTTCCAACAAGTAGAAACAAAATTTGTGTCAACGGGACTGCCACTGATTCAGCGAGAGATTATTAAAGAACTGGTTTGTGAAACTTCATTAAGGAAAGAAGTAATTACTAGGAGCCAGCATTGGTTCCCTAAAAACAAATCAGGCCAAACTTACCTCATTTCTTTGTTAATGGGTTTATCATTTTAGTAGATCAGGAAAATGGTATATCTATTTGTGGTCGTTGTTTCAGTTGTATCTTCCTTAGCCCATTTGGGGTTTTCTTGTCAAAGATACTGGAGTGGTTTGCTATTTCCTTCTCTAGCTCATTTTACAGATGAAGAAACTGAGGCAAACAGGTTTAAGTGACTAACCTAGGGTCACACAGCTAGTAAGTATCTGAGGCCAGATCTGAACTCATGTCTCCCTGATACCAGGCCCAGCATTCTATCCCCTGCGCCACCTAGCTGCCGGTATATCTATAGGGTTTCTTCATTTAATAAAGCCTTTCCTGGTACCCTCATAGAAAACATAAGACAGTGCAAAATGAATGATAGTAGAGCTAGGTAGATATCAAACAGAAAAGTCCTCAATAGTATGGTTAGTATCCTACTGTTCAACAGTTTTATCAACAACTTGGAGAAACAAAAGTAAGGCACTCAAATGTTGGTTGAATGCATGAATGGAAGCTTGACCAGCTGTGACTTCATTTCCTTTTGGAAATCCCACTTTGCTTTTTGGTTTAATTTATTATTTATAACATATATACACACAAACATATACACATATATATGTACACATATATATATGTAGAGTATGTAGCTATTTTGTAGAAATTATCAGATTTTTCAATGATACAAAGCCAAGAGGAATGATAAAATCAGATTTTGACATAATCTTGACAGGTCAGAATAATGATGAAAGTGAACAGGAACAATTTGAAAGAATTTCATTTTGGTTCAGAAACTCAACACATAGTTACAGGATTGCTTCAGTCACAATTAGGGTAGAAAAGACCTGTGAATATTAGGTGATCACAACCTCAACATGACAATGTGATGTGGCTACTTAAAAAAAAGCAAATAGACTATATAGTGAGTCATCTGGAAACCATATCATTTTAGGAACAGCTGGAGGGACTGGAGATGTTAAGCCTGGAGAAGAAAAGATTTAGAGGAAAATTGCTATTTTCAGAATACGAAAGGCTATATGAAACAAGGAACAAGAATTTCTCTGTGACTCCAGAGAGTTGAACTTGATGGAAATGATAAGATGTCAGGTTTCAATTCAATATAAGAAAGAGCTCTGTAATAAATAAAACTATCTAATAATGAAATGGACTTTTGGGTTAGGTAGGGAGCTTCCATCACTGGAAGTGTTCAAGTTGAGGCTGGATCATCTCTTATTTGACATATTGCAAAGGAGATTACTGCATTGGGTGAAAAGTTGGACTAGATTAACTTTAAGATCCCTTCAACTCTAAGATTCACTTATTCTCTGATCTAGAGTCTTTCCAGGATGGAATCAGTAGAGAATTGAATTTGCTCAGACTCCTAACTCCATGCCAGGTTCCTTCAATTTCTGGTCCTAAACTTCAGTGGCAAGTGTAGACCACTTAAAATTACTCCAGACCCCATCTCATGGTGCTTCAGCCATCTCCCAATGCAAAAACACAAGTTGGCCAAGAATAGCATTTAGATTAGAAAAAAAGAGATTTAATGGGTATTAGAAGCCATTTTTCCTCCCCTTGAGTTAAATGACCTTTCCCTTTGAGCAGTTCATGGGAAATTAAAGAATGCTCTTCAATCCTTAAATTCTCCAAAGGCTTTCGGTCCTCTTTCTTTTGTCACACTTAAAACTATCATGGCCTGAAGTCAAGGCAAGAAACAGGGAGGAGGCTAGAGAACCAGTCACTTCTTTCTAACCCTGACTGATTGCAGTAAGTCCCTGGCCAGGGGGCAAGAAGAGGTTTTTCTCACTACCTACAACCCTTACCCACAGCATTCTTAATTCCCTGGCTTGTGTTGGAATTGAGAGGGAAAGATAGAAGGAGGATGGAAGAATGGGAGGATAGGAGGAAGTGACTTTTCTGCAGAGAATTCATTGCAAATTGAACATTGGGATTGGAAAAACTTGATTTGAATCCTGGGTCCACTGCTCACTAGCTTTTCAGCCTTGAGTAAGTCGTTTGACTTTTCTGACCCTGAGTTTCCTCATCTGTAACATGGGGATAATAATACCTACCCTT